TAGGTTTTGCCCTGATTATCTCCAGAAATCTTCCCTGGGTTCCCCGTAGTAGTCAAACTAGCTACAGATCTAAACCTATTTTTCCTAGTTCCCTTGGACTGACAAGCTTTCTTTAGAATATCAAATGCTGACCCTTCCTTTCTCCAGTCTCCTCCTCCTTTTCCACGCATTTTCCCAGTCTGCCCATCTTCCGTACAACTACGTTTTCTTCAGGTATCTTCATGTGACCCTCAATCTCGTGCAAGCGAGGGTATGATTCCTATGATGTTCGATGGAAGAGCTGTAAACACCAGAGAAGGATCAGAATTCGGGTCGTTCAGACCGATGTTCACAGAAGTTTGGTGATTGAGCGAAATCAATTTTGTAATTTATATCTAAGGTTAATTTAATTGCACTCACTGTACACATTTAGTCTCATTTGGTCGCAATAAATATTGAACCTAAACCTTGCGTATGTCATGATAGTCACGACATTCACACCGTTAGCTGGAACAGAGGCGTGCGAATTGTGTCTCTTTCTGGGATTTTATAGTGTGTAATTTGTGTTTCTTTTTGGGGCTTTTTACAGTGTGCCATGGATCTAAATTAAACACCAGACTTTCATAAAAATAGTCTACATCAGGTGTTTGTGTGTTTATTTGTTTCTCCGAAATTTCTTGATCATGGCGCAGGCGAGAGCGCATCCACTCCAGGCAAAACTTTTCCTAAAATAATAGGAGGTCATCACTTCAACCCAGCTTTGTACACGACATGCCTTCAAGTAATTCCAAGCTTGCACCTCCACCGGTGGAAACGTGGCTCACTTTATCTTCCGTTTTGCATTTTTTGCATGCAGTGGCGGTGTCACCACCACCTGGATAGAATTTTTCTTATACGGAAATCAAGCGAATAAGGGGCCGTAACTTACCGATTATGGTAGTGGCACCATCTGATGTTGCTTTCACGACCGCATCCATCACTGATTTGGTGCCATGAGCAAATTTCTCATGCTCAAACACGCCCGGAGGGCCGTTCCATACAATCGTTTTTGCTCTTGCAATAACTTCAGCAAACTTTTTCTCAGTTTCCGGCCCAATATCTAGACCCATCTGATCTGAAGTTATGCATCATAATTATCAGCTTTTATCTGTAACAGTCTCGCTCCAAAGGATGGAGCCGCACATAAACTAGGTCCACACTTGCCGTATCAGCGTCGTGCCAGCGACGTGTCAGAACCCAACCCGCGCTAGCGCGCCCCATATTGATCGTCCGCGTTCTGGAGCAGTGCTAGCACGACGCTGGCACATTAGATTTGGTGCATTGACCTAATGGTATTCTTGGTCAGAGAGGGGGAAATTATCATTATAGAAGGACATAACATCTTCTTCCCACAGTATCTACCGTAATGTTCTCACTATAACATGCTGCTGATGTGAAAGAGACTATGATAACTGGGAGATCCTGTATACATAGCAACCATACCTTTTGGAACCCCTTCTTGTGCTGTGACTGTCTTGGTTGCGACATCGTCTGCAATTTTTTCGGCTACAACAAAGTCTACTGGAAGATGCATTTGTACATTCTTCTCTTTAGCCTTTGCAAGGAGTTCTTTTACAATCTTTGCTCCCTAAAATTACGGAAGTTGTTGCGAATAACTTAAAAAAAGAGCAAACTTGTTACCTCCGCATCATACAGTGATTTGCCAATCTCTACATTTTGATCCACCTTCAGGAATGTGAACGCCATACCACCACCGATTATCATTTCATTGACCTAAGTAAGTGATTAATTACAGGAATAAGTCTCTACCAAATGCGGCTGCGGACCTTGTCCAGCATATTTTTGATCAGTTGAATTTTATCAGCAACTTTGGCTCCACCAAGAATCGCTAGGAATGGTCTAGCAGGATCTCCGAGGGCCTGAACTTTATTGAGTGAACACAAAGCCTAAAGGTGATAAAGTTCCAAAGTACTTTTCCAAAATAGGCAAGCTCGTTCTTCATCAAAAATCCGCATGCGCGTTTCTCCAACTTCACACCAACCATTGAACTAAACAGATATTTGTATAACGTGCAAGGGACTTCTTTACACTTGTTAATAATTGAATTGATTTTGAGAATTTTTTGAGAATTCAAATTAGCCTTGTAAAGCAATTTTCGCGAGGCCCATTTTCCTATAATTTCGGGATAATGTGCCGACAGAAACTTCTGGGAAACAATTCAAAGATTCCTCCCCCGAACAAAAAATCCTGGGACCGCCACTGAAGTGAAGCGATACCTGTGTGCTCTATGTGCGGTACCAAATGCATCATTCACATAGACATCACCAAGCTTTGTCAAAGACGCTCTAAATTTCTCGACTTCTTCAGGTTTGGCTTTTATCTGTAAGTGTTAATCATTTCGACGTCTCTACAAATTGTAAAAGGGATTAACGGACCTTTTCACCCTTTTCATTCGTGCATTTTCCTTCCTCTTCAATGTGAAACCTCAAGTTCTCCAACAAGATAACAGAACCAGGAGCCGGGTTTGCGCATGCGTTTTCTACTTCAGGACCGACACAGTCGTTTAGAAATGTGACGTCTCTGGAATACGCAGTTAGATGGGACTCGGAAGATACATATTTTAGGGAACGGCCATAGGTTGCCGGCAACGGTGCCAGCGACGGTTGCCGAGGTTGCCGAGGTT